CGCGAAGTTACTAAAAACAAAGCAATTTGTTTAAATATTATTAAATTAACCCCGAAAATGTGCAATTTCCCGGCCAAAATGTGAAAAATAAGGTCGCATTTTTCGGCCCCTTGTGTTCCGTTTAGATTTCGGTCTGATGGCAGCAACATTGGAGCTCCGGTTTGGCTTAAAAGTGGGGCTCTTTTCGCGAATTTCTAATTTATTATTAATAAATATTAGTGAAAATGTGCTGTGTTGGTGCTATGAACACGAAAGAACATGGATATTTTTCCGAAAAGGACTGAAAACGGGGTAAGTACGACTTTAGTTTTAATTTATCGGGTTCCATGATTAGTTTACTCGACAATGTTTAAATTTTGGAAAAAATTTCGAAACGGTTGAAGTTGATCGGTCAAAGTTATACATTTCCACGATATAATTAAATAAAATTTAGACATAATTAATATTATTTATAATGCTCAAATATGGTAAGTAACTATTAATATATCGGCTGCTTTTTTCGATTTGGTAATTTTTTTCTTTTTTCAGTTTTTCGACTTTTAAGTTTTCCATTTTTCAACTTTTCGAATCGACAAAATGAAAAAACGAAAAATTGTGACATTAAATCGAGAAAATGAAACTTAAAAAATCAGGAAAATGGAAAATAAAATTCGAGAACTTGAAAAATTGAAACAAGGAACAGCTGCAAAATTAAAAAACTGCAAAATTCAAAAAATGAAAGTCGAAAAATTTGGAAGTCGAGAAATTGAAAATTTGAAAAAAGAAATCGAAAAATTGAAAAAATATAGAAAATGAAAATTTTTTGGTGTGATGGAGAATTCACTCGCTTTTTGCTTTTTATCTTCTCTCCAATATTTCGATTTATTAATTTTTCGAGTTTCGATTTTTCAATGTTTCAATTTTACATTTCTTCAGTTCATTAATTTGCAATTTTACGTTTTATCGATTTTCCAACTTTTCGAATAAAAAAAGTGAAAAAATGCAAAATCGTAAAACTGAAAAATCAAAAATGGAAAAATGGAAAAATGGAAAAACGGAAAGAAAACACCCGGATAATTGAGAAATCCAAAAACTGCAAAATTGAAAAATTTTTTAAATCGTGGAATTGAAGAGAGAAAATCGAAATAAAAAATAAAGGAAATGGAAAAACGAAAAAATTGTGATACAAAATTACTTAATATTATTTATTATGTTTAAATACGATAATTATTAATATATGATGATTAAATCGAACACCGTTTTCTTAAAAACACAAAGTTACTAAAAACAAAACACTTTGTTTAAATATTATTAAATTAACCCCGAAAATGTGCAATTTCCCGATCAAAATATGAAAAATAATTTTTGGAATCTCATCGTGACGTACGATGACGTCACTGTCACGTGAGCTACCTGAGCAAAGGTCGCATTTTTCGGCCCCTTGTATTCAGTTTAGATTTCGGTCTGATGGCAGCAACATCGGAGTCCGGTTTGGCTTATTTTCGCGAATTTCTAATTTATTATTAATCAATATTAGTGAAAATGTGTTATGGTACTGTGACTGTGAACACGAACGAAAGTGGATATTTTTCCGTACCGAAAACGGGGTAAGTACGACTTCAATTTTAATTTATCGAAAAATTGCAATTTGAAACTGAGGAAACGAAAAATTTAAAAATTGGAAGTCGAGAAACTGAAAAAAATTGGTCGAAGGATTTATTCGGTAAAATGTTGAGATGACGTCGTCAATTTTTTGGGAAGGAATAAACGAATAAATTTTGATTACAGAGTTACCATGACTACAAGTTTGCAAGATTTCAGAGCATTCGGCATTTTACACAAAGCGTTTCTCGACCACTTTGCAAGTTCCGCCAACACAAGAAAATTTAATACACCACTTTCCAAGAACAACTAAATGTGGGAATGGAAAAAATTGACTCTCGAAAAAAAAATTTCAATATTCTTGACGCCTGACCCAAATTTTGTATGACTTTCTTTGGCACCAAAGGCCAACAGCACTTGAACCACTTCAATATTTCACTATTTGGCAAAACCACTTGAAAAAACTGTTAGCGAAACCTGAATTAAATTCCCCTTAATGACTACCAGTTTGTAGGCTAAATACATATAACACGACGAATTCGAGCCCGAATTCAAAATATATACACGTATTATCATAAATATTCAATGCGATACATGTTGACCGTGTTTACAATACACGTGGAATAATAACATTATTACCGCATGAGTGTTAAAGCCGCTCGCAACGAGGCGTTAACAAAATCATGCAACGAACCGAGTGTGTTGGTAAAGCTTTAACCCACGAGTAGCATGCAGATTTTATCTATGATTTATTCGAGTTAAAAATGACTGCGGTTAACTACTACTACCGTACTAGAACGGGAAGGTGATTAATCCTAATGCGGACGAGTGGGATGAATTTATGTTTTCTCTCACAGTGTCGGCGATAAAATTATTTAAAAAAAATAAGAAACTGTGTTGCCATTTTTCAATGATTAGATTTTGAAAAATTTTCATTTATTCGACTTTTCAATTTATTGATTTTTAAATTTACAATTTTTCGATTCTGCAATTTTTTTTCTTCAAATTTTCGATTTGCGACTTATCGTTTCGGTTTTTTGTTTTCTTCTTTTTTGCAATTTTTTTAATCTTCATTGTTCCTATTTTAATTTTTGGTTTTCTGCAACTTCAATTTTTTTCAATTTTTATTTTCTTCAATTTTTCGATTTGCAAATTTTTTTGTTTCTTCAAATTTACTTTTCGAGTTTTGATTTTGAATTATGTATTCAGTTTTTCGATTTTTCAACTTTTGGATGTTTCAATTTTACGATTTTGTAATTTTTCGATTTGCAATTTCACGAGAATTCAATTTTTAATTTTTCAATTTTTGATTTTAATTTTCAATTCTTCAATGTTGCGATTTGCAATTTTTTGTTTCGGTTTTTTATTTTCTTCATTTTTTTCTATTTTTTATATTTCGATCTTCTGATTTTGAAATTTTTGTCTTTTTCAATTTGCAATTTTTCGATTTTTCAAATTTAAATTTTTTCATTTTTCGTTTTGTCAAGTTTAGATTTTTCAGTGTCTCGATTTTTCAAAAAAAAAAATTATAAAAAATTATAAAATCGAAGGAAAAGAAAAAACGAAAAATTGGGATATTAAAAAATGGTAAAAACGAAAAATTGAAAAATAAAATATTGGGAAAACGAAAAATTATAAAATAAAAACTTGAAAAACAGAATAAAGAAAAAACTGAAAAATCAAAAATTCTAAAATTCAGAATATGAAAAATAAAAATCAAGAACTTGAAATATTGAATAATTAAAAAGTGAGAACCTTAAACATCGAAAAACGAAAAATTGGGACATCAAACAATGGTGAAATCGAAAAACTAAAAATCGAGAAAACGAAAAATTGAAAAATCAAAAACTCTAAAATTGAGAAATTGAAAAAAAATTTTTTCAATGATTGGATTTTGAAAATTTTTCATTTATTCGACTTTTCAATTTTTTGATTTTTAAATTACAATTTTTCGATTCTGCAATTTTTCTTTTCTTCAAATTTTCGATTTGCAATTTATCGTTTCGGTTTTTTGTCTTCTCTATTTTTTGCAATTTTTTTATTCTTCATTATACCTATTTTCTAGTTTTTTGTTTTCTGCAATTTCAATTTTTTTCAGTTTTTGGTTTCTTTAATTTTTCGATTTCCATTTCTATTGTTTCTCCAAATTTACAGCAACTCTTCGAATTTTTCAGTTCATCAACTTTTGGATGTTTAAATTTTTCAAATCTTATTTTTTAATTTTTCAATTCTTCAATGTTTCGATTTGCAATTTTTCTTTCGGTTTTTTATTTTCTTTATTTTTTTTTTCTATTTTTCAATTTTTCAATTTTTTCAGTTTGAAAATTGAGAAACTGTGTTAGAAGAGTAGGCCTTGGGTCAGTTTTTACATTATCTTTGTGGCTACATAACCTTACTCGTTCTCAGATGGGCAGTGGACCGTTCATTTTATTTTTATGCATTTTTTGCTTTGTTGTTTTATTGTTTTTATTGCCAATTTAATATTTTTGACAAGACTAGAAGGTTTTTTTGTGAGTTTGTTAACTTTTGGTATGATAATTACGCCATAGTTATTTATGTACCGGTTACTATACGTATAGTTGACCATTCAATTAAAAAACATGTTGTAAAGGTCACAATTATCTCCTAATAAAACTGCCATTGAGTCGTCCGTGACAATGCTGCCAACCGCAATAATAACATCACTATTGTCTGCTTTTTAAACACACGTCTCGCTCCTTATTAAGTACCCCTCGTAATAAACGTTTTACATATTCATTCCTTATCATCTTTGTTCGAACAACAATCACTCTACGACGCACGTCCTTGAAAGTGTGTGTTAGTAACGTAACGTTTTTATTTACACTTTGATCATAACAAAAACAACGAATCGAGATAAAACAGCGTCCGTAACAGTTCTCGCAACGTTGTCGTTTTCTCCGTTTTTTATCACCGACCACGCTTTCATTTCACTTTCATTCTCATTCATCCGTGCCCCCGTCGCCTCCGCCGCCACTGTCACCATCGCCGGCCGACTCGAGCGATAAACAAACCAGGAAGCGAGCGATAACAACCAGGCGTCCAGAGCAAATAAAAAATCGATCCCGGAAAATGCATGAATTTAGCTGTCCGCGTCAAGTAGGCGTGAAGCCCCGCGATCCCGTGCCCCAATTAGCCTCCCACGGCCAGCTCGATCTGTTTAGATTGGCGCGTTTCGGCACATGACGTCTCGCCGAGGTGGGCGTAACTCGCACAAATTGCACAATTACATAATGATAAGAGAATGATATGAGAGTCCGATAAAATGCGGCTATTCGAGCAGTTTCAGTCGATGGCGACCGCCGGCTCCAAATGTACGTAGACGTCCCAGTGTGCCCCCACACCGCCAAAACACTAATCGCATCTAGTGAGCGTGCTTATTTTGACGTTTCTCTACTCACAAGCACTGTGTTCTCCTTGACGACCTGGGACACGGTCTCCCGCAGCTGGGCCGCCGTCCCCGGTTTCCCCAGCCCCCTTGCGAACTTCCTCTCGCTCATTTTACACACACTCGGTATATCGCGGTCACCACATCCATCGCGTTCGCGGCGCGGCAGGCCGTGGACTGAATGACAGAAAAACCTGTTGTAGTGTCAAATGAAAGTTACCAGACTGGCCCGAGGCGGCGAATCGATACGCTAAACGCATTCTTGGCGAGGCGGCCGCATTTGCATTTTCTTATCGGCGGAAGAGCGACGCACCAGCGGGAAACGCGCACGAAAATACGCGGATGACAATTGTTTGGAGTGACAGCCGGGATGTCAAAATGGAAATGTCAGACGGGCGGTGGCTGCGGGCACGGCGCGGACCGGTATTTGGGGCGAGGCTGGGAGCAGGTTTATTGCGAGCGTTATGGCTTTATGGCGGGAATTTTCCCAGTTTCGGGAAATTGGCGCCCAAGGACGAGGGAACGAGGCCGGGGGTGGCCGCGTTACGGGAGAGGGGGGCGGAGTAAGGCGACGGGTGGCATGGGCGTGCGCGGCGCAGTACAAAGGGGGGGAAGCGAGGTGTTAATTGTCAACGATAACAGTATTAACAGTCCATTTGCACTTTCGCTAATTAGTTTTTCCGTGGAGAGCCTCATTCTTGTTTATTTCATTATACTGTGTGAAACTGTTTTAGTAAAACAGGTTTGTACAGACCTTATGATTTTGATCATTAAAAAACTTGTTCGTCCCTGAAGTACACTTAACAAATCTTGGAGATGACGTCATCGAAATATTGGTGGGCATGAATAGACACACGTGCTAAATTTCAAAACAATTGATTTATACTTAAATTGTTGGTTGGGATCATCAGGCAAGTTTTGGTTGGCGTCTTATCAGTTATCAATGTTATCACCTACACGATATTCCTCAAAAACACCTACAATTTCACAAGCAGTCCAGTCGCGTCGGAAATTATTAAGAAACGGAAGACCTGCTTTTTCTTGTTCTAGGAGTTATGAAACTTCGAAAAAATATGAAAGTAGCTTACGCTCGGGAAATAAAAACGCACTTTTCAAAAACAATTAATTCACGGTTAAATGAAACAACCATTGGAAAAAAATTAAAAATTTGTTGTTAGGATGAACGAAAATTATTTTATCTTACCTACCAGGATTATGTACCCAGTGGAACTACCAGTCTAGCATTTGAAAAAAAATTGAAAAACTGTAAATCGTAAATTGAAAATTCGAAAAATCAAAAATTGAAAATTTGGAAAATCGAAAAGTAACGAAATCGAAAAATCTAAAAAGTGAAGATTCGAAAAATTGAAGAATTGAAAATTTGAAAAATCAAAGAGCGAAAATCGAAAAATTGAAAATCGAACATTATAAAAATTGAAAACTCTAAAAGTGAAGAATCGAAAACTTCAAAAAAAGAAATATTGAAAATGGAAAAATCAAAAAATTAATTGTACATGGAAAATTCGGAAAAACAGAAAAATCTTCCAGGAAGTCGAAAAATCGAAAAAGTGAAAAATTAACAAATCTAAAATTCGAAAATTAAAAAAACTGAAAAATCGAAAAACTGAAGAATATAAAAATTGAAATATCAGAAAGTAAAAGTATTGAAAAGTCTAAAAATTGAAGAATGGAATAATTGAAAAATCGAAAAGTAAAAAAATTGGAAAGTCTAAAAAACTAAAAAATTGAAACTCGAAAATTTGAGAAATCGAAAAGTTAAAAATTAATAACTCTATTTAATAATAATAATAATGTTTATTAACTCTAAAACATGAAGACTCGAAAAAGTGAAAATCAAAAAATGAAAATCGGACAATTGTACATCAAAAAACTGAAAAAACTGAAAAATCTTCCGGGCAGTCGATAAATCGGAAAATTGAAAATTCAAGAACTCATTAATTCGAAAAGTAAGAAACTGAAAAACTGAAAAATCGAAAAACAGAAGATTAAAAAAAAAGAAAAATCGAAAATTTGAAAATTTAGAAAGTTGAAAAGTAAAAAATTGAAAATCTAAAAAGTGGAGACTCGAAAAACTGAAAAATTGAAAATTCGAAAAATCAAAAAGCCAAAATCGAAAAATTGAAAATTCGAAAAATGAAAAAACGAAAATCGGAAAATTGAAAATCGAAAAATGAAAATCGAAAAATTGTACACCAAAAAATCTTCCGGGAAGTCGATAAATCGGAAAATTGAAAATTCAAGAAATCATTAATTCGAAAAGTAAAAAACTGAAAAATCGAAAAACAGAAGATTGGAAAAACTGAAAAATCGAAAATTTGAAAATTTAGAAAATCGAAAAGTAAAAAATTGAAAATCTAAAAAGTGCAGACTCGAAAAACTGAAAAATTGAACATTCGAAAAAATCAAAAAGCCAAAATCGAAAAACTGAAAATTCTATAAATGAAAAAACGAAAATCGAAAAATTGAAAATCGAAAAATGAAAGTCGAAAAATTGTACATCAAAAAATCGAAAAAACAGAAAAATCTTCCGGGAAGTCGATAAATCGGAAAATTGAAAAATCAAGAAATCAAAAATTCAAAAAGTAAAAAAATTGAAAATTTGAAAATTTGGAAAATCGAAGAGTAACAAAATTAAAAAATGTAAAAAGTGAAGATTCAAAAAAATGAAGAATTGAAAAAAAAAATCAAAAATTGAAAATCGAAAATTTGAGAAATCCGAAATTTAAAAAATAGAAAACTACAAAGTGAAGACCTGAAAAATTCAAAAATTGAAAAATTGAAAATCGAAAAATTAATTGAACATACATGGAAAATCCGGAAAAAAAATCTTCTAGAAAGGCAAAAAAATCGAACAAGTGTAAAATCCACAAAACGAAAATTCCAAAATTAAAAAATCTGAAAAATCGAAAAACTGAAGAATGTAAAAGTTGAAATATGTATCGAAAAGTAAGAATATTGAAAAGTCTAAAAATTGATGAATAGAATAATTAAAAAATCGAAAATTCGGAAAATTAATTTATCGAAAAATTGAAAATTTGAGAAATCAAGAACCCAAAATTAAAAAATAAAAAATTCGAAAAATCAAAAATCGGAAATCGAAAAATTGAAAATCAAAAATTTGAGAAATCCAAAATTTAAAATATTGAAAACTACAACGTAAAGGCCTGAGAAATTCAAAAATTGAAAAATTGAAAATCGAAAAATCTAAAAATTGAAAATCGAAAAATTAATTGTACATCGAAAATTCGAAAAAAAGAAAAATCTTCCACAAAGTCGAAAAATCGAACAAGTGAGAAATCGACAAATCGAAAATTCGAAAAGTAAAAATATTAATAACTCTAAAAATTGAAGAATGGAATAATTGAAAAATCGAAAATTCGAAAAATTGAAAATTTGAGATATCGAAAAATTAAAAAACGAAAGTCGAAAAATTGAAAATCAAAAAATGAAAATCGAACAATTGTACACCAAAAAATCGAAAAAATGGAAGAATTTTCCGATTAATCTAAAAATTGAAAAAACGGGATATCAAAAATTCGAAAAGTAAAACACTGAAAAACTGAAAAATCGAAAAACTGAAGAATGGAAAAATCGAAATATGTAATCGAAATTTAAAAAAATCAAAAATCAAAAAATTGAAAATTTGAAAAATCGAGAAGTAAAAAAATTTAAAAATCTAAAAAGTGAATATTAAAAAAATTGAAGAATTGAAAATTCGAAAAATGAAAAAACGAAAATCGAAAAATAAACAATTGTACATCAAAAAATCGAAAAAACAGAAAAATCTCCCGGAAAGTCGATAAATCAGAAAATTGAAAAATCAAAAAATCGAAAATACGGAAAGTAAAAAACTGAAAAACTGAAGAACGAAAAAATTGAAAAATCGACCAGAAAAAAAATGAAAATTCAAATATCGAAAAAGCAAAAATCAAAAAATTAAAAATCGAAACTTTTTTTTTTCGATTCAAAAAGTAAAAAAATTAAAAAGTCTAAAAAGTGAAAAATTGAAGAATTGAAAATTCGAAAAATCGAAATCACAAAAATTGGATAGTGAAAAAATGAAAAATGAATAGTGAAAAAATGAAAAAATCGAAAAACGGAAGGAATTCAAAAATTTAAAAATCGAAAAGTAAAAAAACTGAAAACTCGAATATCGAAAATTCGAATCGAGAAATCGAAAATTTAGGAAATTGAAAGAAAAAAATGAAAAGACTAAAAACTGGAGAATGGAAAAAATTAAAAATCGAAAATTGAAAAATTGAAAGTAGAAAACACGCGAATTTTCGTTTTTTCGATTTTCGTTTTCTTGATTTTTCAATTTTTTTTATTTATCGACTTTGCGGAAGATTTTTCTGTATATTCTGTTTTTTGATGTACAATTTTTCAATATTATTGATGATAACCTCAAGGCACGTGCTAAATTTCAAAACAATTGATTTATACTCAAATTGTTGGTGGGGATCATCAGGCAAATTTTGGTTGGCGTCTTATCAGTTATCAATGTTATCACCTACACGATATTTCTGAAAAACACTTACAATTTCACAAACAGTCCAGTGGTGTCGGAAATTATTAAGAAACGGAAGACCTGCTTTTTCTTATTCTATGGGGTTATGAAACTTCGAAAAAATATGAAAGTAGCTTACGCTCGGGAAATAAAACCGCACTTTTCAAAAACAATTAATTCACGGTTAAATGAAACAACCATTGGAAAAAAATTAAAAATTTGTTGTTAGGATGAACGAAAATTATTTTATCTTACCTACCAGGATTATGTGCCCACTGGATCTACCAGTCTAGCATTTGAAAAAAAATAGACAAACTGTAAATCGTAAATTGAAAATTCGAAAAATCAAAAATTGAAAATTTGGAAAATCGAAAAGTAACGAAATCGAAAAATCTAAAAAGTGAAGACTCGAAAAATTGAAGAATTGAAAATTTGAAAAATCAAACAGCGAAAATCGAAAAATTGAAAATCGAACATTATAAAAATTGAAAACTTCAAAAAAAGAAATATTGAAAATGGAAAAATCAAAAAATTAATTGTACATCGAAAATTCGGAAAAACAGAAAAGTCTTCCAGGAAGTCGAAAAATCGAAAAAGTGAAAAATCAACAAATCGAAAAATCGAAAAACTGAAGAATATAAAAATTGGAATATCGAAAAGTAAAAATATTTAAAAGCCTAAAAATGGAAGGTTGGAATAATTGAAAAATCGAAAAATAAAAAAATTGAAAAGTCTAAAAAACTAAAAAATTTGAGAAATCGAGAAGTTAAAAATTAATAACTCTAAAAAGTGAAGACTCGAAAAACTGAAAATCAAAAGACGAAAATCGGACAATTGTACTTCAAAAAATTGAAAAAACTGAAAAATCTTCCGGGCAATCGATAAATCGGAAAATTGAAAATTCAAGAACTCATTAATTCGAAAAGTAAAAAACTGAAAAACTGAAAAATCGAAAAACAGAAGATTGGAAAAACTGAGAAATCGAAAATTTGAAAATTTAGAAAATCGAAAAGTAAAAAACTGAATAATCTAAAAAGTGCAGACTCGAAAAACTGAAAAATTGAACATTCGAAAAAATCAAAAAGCCAAAATCGAAAAACTGAAAATTCTATAAATGAAAAAACGGAAATCGAAAAAACAGAAAAATCTTCCGGGAAGTCGATAAATCGGAAAATTGAAAATTCAAGAAATCATTAATTCGAAAAGTAAAAAACTGAAAAACTGAAAAGTCGAAAAACAGAAGATTGGAAAAACTGAAAAATCGAAAATTTGAAAATTTAGAAAATCGAAAAGTAAAAAATTGAAAATCTAAAAACTGGAGACTCGAAAAACTGAAAAATTGAAAATTCGAAAAATCAAAAAGCCAAAATCGAAAAATTGAAAATTCGAAAAATGAAAAAACGAAAATCGGAAAATTGAAAATCGAAAAATGAAAATCGAAAAATTGTACATCAAAAAACTGAAAAAACTGAAAAATCTTCCGGGCAGTCGATAAATCGGAAAATTGAAAATTCAAGAACTCATTAATTCGAAAAGTAAAAAACTGAAAAACTGAAAAATCGAAAAACAGAAGATTGGAAAAACTGAAAAATCGAAAATTTGAAAATTTAGAAAGTTGAAAAGTAAAAAATTAAAAATCTAAAAAGTGGAGACTCGAAAAACTGAAAAATTGAAAATTCGAAAAATCAAAAAGCCAAAATCAAAAAATTGAAAATTCGAAAAATCAAAAAAACGAAAATCGGAAAATTGAAAATCGAAAAATGAAAATCGAAAAATTGTACATCAAAAAATCTTCCGGGAAGTCGATAAATCGGAAAATTGAAAATTCAAGAAATCATTAATTCGAAAAGTAAAAAAACTGAAAAGTCGAAAAACAGAAGATTGGAAAAACTGCAAAATCGAAAATTTGAAAATTTAGAAAATCGAAAAGTAAAAAACTGAATAATCTAAAAAGTGCAGACTCGAAAAACTGAAAAATTGAACATTCGAAAAAATCAAAAAGCCAAAATCGAAAAACTGAAAATTCTATAAATGAAAAAACGGAAATCGAAAAATCGAAAATCGAAAAATGAAAGTCGAAAAATTGTACATCAAAAAATCGAAAAAAACAGAAAAATCTTCCGGGAAGTCGATAAATCGGAAAATTGAAAATTCAAGAAATCATTAATTCGAAAAGTAAAAAACTGAAAAACTGAAAAATCGAAAAACAGAAGATTGGAAAAACTGAAAAATCGAAAATTTGAAAATTTAGAAAATCGAAAAGTAAAAAATTGAAAATCTAAAAAGTGGAGACTCGAAAAACTGAAAAATTGAAAATTCGAAAAATCAAAAAGCCAAAATCGAAAAATTGAAAATTCTATAAATGAAAAAAACGAAAATCGGAAAATTGAAAATCGAAAAATTGTACATCAGAAAATCGAAAAAACAGAAAAATCTTCCGGGAAGTCGATAAATCGGAAAATTGAAAATTCAAGAAATCATTAATTCGAAAAGTAAAAAACTGAAAAACTGAAAAGTCGAAAAACAGAAGATTGGAAAAACTGAAAAATCGAAAATTTGAAAATTTAGAAAATCGAAAAGTAAAAAATTGAAAATCTAAAAAGTGGAGACTCGAAAAACTGCAAAATTGAAAATTCGAAAAATCAAAAAGCCAAAATCGAAAAATTGAAAATTCTATAAATGAGAAAACGAAAATCGGAAAATTGAAAATCGAAAAATGAAAATCGAAAAATTGTACATCAAAAAATCGAAAAAACAGAAAAATCTTCCGGGAAGTCGATAAATCGGAAAATTGAAAAATCAAGAAATCAAAAATTCAAAAAGTAAAAAAATTGAAAAATTGAAAATTTGGAAAATCGAAGAGTAACAAAATTAAAAAATGTAAAAAGTGAAGATTCAAAAAAATGAAAAATTGAAAATATGAAAAATCAAAAATTGAAAAATTGAAAATCGAAAATTTGAGAAATCCGAAATTTAAAAAATAGAAAACTACAAAGTGAAGATCTGAAAAATTTAAAAATTGAAAAATTGAAAATCGAAAAATTAATTGAACATACATGGAAAATCCGAAAAAAAAATCTTCTAGAAAGTCAAAAAAATCGAAAGTGTAAAATCGACAAAGCGAAAATTCGAAAATTAAAAAAGCTGAAAAATCGAAAAACTGAAGACTGTAAAAACTGAAATATGTATCGGAAAGTAAGAATACTGAAAAGTCTAAAAAATGATGTACAGAATAATTAAAAAATCGAAAATTGGGAAAATTAATTTATCGAAAAATTGAAAATTTGAGAAATCAAGAAGCCAAAATTAAAAAATATAAAATTCGAAAAATCAAAATTCGAAAATCGAAAAATTGAAAATCAAAAATATGAGAAATCCAAAATTTAAAATATTGAAAACTTCAAAGTAAAGGCCTGAGAAATTCAAAATTTGGAAAATTGAAAATCGAAAAATCTAAAAATTGAAAATCGAAAAATTAATTGTACATCGAAAATTCGAAAAAAAGAAAAATCTTCCAGAAAGTCGAAAAATCGAACAAGTGAGAAATCGACAAATCGAAAATTCGAAAAGTAAAAATATTAAAAAGTCTAAAAATTGAAGAAGGAATAATTGAAAAATCGAAAATTCGAAAAATTGAAAATTTGAGATATCGAAAAATTAAAAAATTTAAAAGTCGAAAAATGAAAAAACGAAAGTCGAAAAATTGAAAATCAAAAAATTAAAATCGAACAATTGTACACCAAAAAATCGAAAAAACGAAAGAATTTTCCGATTAATCTAAAAATTGAAAAAACAGGATATCAAAAATTCGAAAAGTAAGACACTGGAAAACTGAAAAATCGAAAAACTGAAGAATGGAAAAATCGAAATATGTAATCGAAATTTAAAAAAATCAAAAATCAAAAAATTGAAAATTTGGAAAATCGAGAAGTAAAAAAATTAAAAAATCTAAAAAGTGAAGATTAAAAAAATTGAAGAATTGAAAATTCGAAAAATGAAAAAACGAAAATCGAAAAATAAACAATTGTACATCAAAAAATCGAAAAAACAGAAAAATCTCCCGGAAAGTCGATAAATCAGAAAATTGAAAAATCAAAAAATCGAAAATTCGTAAAGTAAAAAACTGAAAAACTGAAGAACAAAAAAATTGAAAAATCGACCAGAAAAAAAATGAAAACTCAAATATCGAAACAGCAAAAATCAAAAAATTAAAAATCGAAAAATTCTTTTTCGATTCAAAAAGTAAAAAATTTAAAAAGTCTAAATAGTGAAAAATTGAAGAATTGAAAATTCGAAAAATCGAAATCACAAAAATTGAATATCGAAAATTCGAATCGAGAAATCGAAAATTTATGAAATTGAAAGAAAAAAATGAAAAGACTAAAAACTGGAGAATGGAAAAAATTAAAAATCGAAAATTGAAAAATTGAAAGTAGAAAACACACGAATTTTCGTTTTTTCGATTTTTGTTTCCTTGATTTTTCAATTTTTTTATTTATCGACTTTCCGGAAGATTTTTCTGTATATTCTGTTTTTTGATATACAATTTTTAGATTTTCAATATCCATATCATACATATAAAATTTTAGAACTATACAACTACCGGTGCAGTAGTTTTGAAGATTGTATGTCTAACAAACTTCGACACAGACAGACAGACGGAAACTCGGGACCTACTGTTTTATACTATCGGAGCCATGGAACGTCGAGAAAACATGAAAGAAAGCATACAGTTGTCGGATGGACCCTATTGCAATTCTTCCCTACCATTTCTTACGCCCGAGAAGTAAAAAGATTAGTAGACAATATTTGAAACCTAACATTCAACAGAATACAAAACAACCAAAACGACAAATTATCCCTGTGGCATCGAACTTGAATGACTGGAACATCGTCAAAACGATTGGATTATTCTTTACTTAAAGTCCCACTGGCTAATTTAATTTTCAATGCCACAAATCAAGCATTAATTTCTTGGACAAACTCCTAGTTGCACAAAAAAAGATTTACTTTTAATTTAATCCCGTATATTGTGCTAGCCATTGTCAAATGACGTTTGATCTGTGATATAGGCAACCAAATAAACACGCACTTCCAGTCGAGAAGCCTAGCGAGAAACAGATGATTCACTTTAAGTCTGGGTTCTGATGGTTCATCTTCACATTCCCCACAATTCATTAAATAAATAAATAAACTAGTAATTTTCTCAAAAATTCAGTGCCAGTGTGACCACAGAAAGTGTGACTTCCAGCTTCCGCCAGTTTTACACTTCTTCCGTTCGGCAGTTTTTCAAAATGCTTTTCACTTTTTACTTGCATTCCCCAAAAAAACAAGTCAAAAGTCACATAATGAAATATTTAGGGGTTCCTCTCTAAAATTCGTTGTCTTGTTGGTTGCCTAGGTAAACATAATCCAAGCAAAACCACAGACAAAGCTACCTCGAACGATATTCGTTTGTTTTGTTGATGGCAGTGCGTTTACATTCGATGAATTAATTTTCTTGTTGACGAAATAACTTTGCAGCATTCTTCGAGTTGGAACAAAATTTCGGGTCTACGCTTTTTCTGTTCTATCCTTTTTCGTTTGACACTCAGCGAGAACTCTAACAATATTCGTAAAAAATATTGCTAGACTGTTTTCAAAAATGCTCAAGCCATCACTTTCCGAAGTCGGTAAATGAAACAAAATCGTCACCGACACAATTTGCGCACGTGCAACTGTCCCAAGCGACATTTAAAAATACCAATTTGTCCGAAAATAAAACTCAAGCGCACGCCACTGAGCGCGCATCCGCAACGTCAACTCATCCAGCTGATCTCCCCGTAACCTTAACCACTTATTTTGAAATTAAGCAAGGTCGGAAGTTAACAAGCAAAATTTCCAAGGCCGTAAAACCGCAAAAAAGCGTACTTCCGCGCGCTGAAAACATGAAAACTTCCTTCGTCAGCACCTGGTGAACTCAATTACGAAACCCGTCCGCGTCCGCCTGCTCCACATCCAGGTACCTAATAATAGCATTTTTGGAAATTTTAGAAACCGCGTTAGCGAACCGTAACAATGGCCAAAGGATAGAACCGATCCGAAACGCGCAAATCTAGAATGGAAGACGAACTCGACGACAAAATCCTGTACCAAACGTACGTATCCCACATGAAACTCATGTCCCGGATAGCCTGGGGGCTCCCCCTTAACATCTCCCCCCTGGCGTACACCTCGCACGCTTGGAGACTCCTCAAGGTGTACATGCTAAAACCCGAAATCATCATCTTCGGAACCGTGGTGTTATTCATGCTCATGTACATGCAGGCCCTCGATGTATGGAGTCGTAATTTGCTAGGGCGCCTCCAGTACACCATCAACCGGGGGGCGAAGTCCAAGGCCGAGAAACTGAGTCTGTTCACGGGCGGCGACCCCGGCAAGGCCAGCTGGGAGATGAAGGTGGGCCCCTACGCGGCCTACGCCGTCCAGGGCCGCCGCCCCAAGATGGAGGACCGCTTCGTGGTCAACGACAACATCAACAACACGGGGGTGGCGCTGTTCGCCGTGTTCGACGGCCACGGGGGCGAGTTCGCCGCCAACTACGCCAAGGAGAAGCTCGTCCAGAGCTTGTACAACCGGGTGATCGAAATCAAGGACTTGATCGCGGGGAAGGCGGTCACCTGCGAGGAGCAGGGCGACGACGAGAAGAAGGACCCCGAGAAGCCTGTCACCCCCAGCTTGTCGGAGCGCCGGAAGAGCTTCCGGAAGACGAGCTCCACGACCGACGAGTGCATCAAAGGTGCCAAAGAGATCACAGACTTCGAGTTGTTGTCGAAGTTGGACAACTTCCCGAGGGCCATCACGAGGGAAGTGCGCCCCTCGTCGCGCCCCCAGTCCTTCAAGAAAATCCCCTCCTCGAGCTACTACGACAAATCGGGGGTGGTCAACTACGGGAAGTTACTGACGGACGAGGTGCTGGCGGCCGACCAGCGCCTCCTCGAAACCGCCAAGAAGACCATGGACGTCGCCGGCACCACGGCCCTGATCGCCATCCTCGAGGGGTCCAAGCTGGTGGTGGCCAACGTGGGGGATTCGCGCGGGGTGATGTGCGACAGCCGCGGCAACGTCATCCCGCTGTCCTTCGACCACAAGCCCCAGCAGATGCGGGAGCGCAAGCGCATCAAGGAAGCTGGGGGGTTCGTGACCTTCAACGGGGTGTGGAGGGTGGCGGGAATCTTAGCCACTTCCAGAGCTCTGGGTGACTATCCCCTCAAAGACAGGAAGCTGGTGATCGCAGACCCGGACATCTTGACTTTCGACCTCAAGGACCACAAGCCGATGTTCGTCATTTTGGCCTCGGATGGGCTTTGGGACACCTTTTCGAACGAAGAAGCGATCAGTTTTATCAAGGAACGATTGAACGAACCCGACTACGGTGCCAAGAGCTTGACGTTGCAGTCGTATTATAGAGGCTCTTTGGATAATATTACTGTTATTGTGATTAATTTTAGGGATAACGCCTTTAGCTTCCACAGCACCGAGAAGAGTGCTTAGGGGGCTGTTTTCCTACTGTGAGATTGAGATTTGTTTGCTCAAGTAGAGGTTTGTACCTGGTTGAAGTGTTTATGCGAATTTATTATTTAGTGTTGATTTTTGTGTTTCTTCAAAGAACTTTTTGTGTCATAATGGCTGTAAGGTTTGTTAATTATTGCTCTCGATGTATAAAATAAACGAAATTTTATCCTGTTGAGTGTTTTTTTACGAACACACTCCGCCATTTTGTTTGTCAAGAGTAGAGTGCCTTTACGTATTATGGCGTTGTTAAGAGTGGATCAAAGTGGTAAGAAGTATTTTCAGGAAAAGAGATTACTTGAAATTAAACTAATCGAAATATGTAGATTTTATTAAGCAGATTTACAAAAATTTATATAAAATACTAGCTGACCCCGTGAACTTCGTTTCACCTACAATTTAATTTTGAATCTGCAAAATCGAATGCTTTGAAATCTTGCAGATGTTTTAAACATTGATGACGTCAGCCCAAAATTTTGCCAAATGAATCCTATCTAAAATGTCCAAAATAGGATGAGACTATACTTGTGATTTATCATTCCATTCGTATTTTTTAGTTTTGCTTATAGGGGGTGTCTCAAAAAAATTAATCACTGAGTCAATTTATTTTATTGATTGAATCAAGAATTGTAAAACTGAATTTTGAAATATTGCAGAGGTTTTGAAGTTACTGTTTGACATGGTAGGTTTTCAATCAAAATATATCTGTTTATCAAGCCCAAAAACTTGAAGACGTCATCTCAAGATTTTGCCGAATAGATCCTATCTAAAATGTGGAAAATATCATCAGTATATTTTCGTAATTTATCATTGCATTCATATTTTTTAGATTTGCTTTTACAGTGACTCAAAAAAATATATGGACCAGTCAATTTATTTTAGTGAATAACTCAAGAGTTGCAAAAATGAATACTTTGAGATCTTGTAGACGTTTTAAAGTTATTGTAGGCATGGTAAATTGTTAAGAATATTTATTTATTGCCCCCAAAAAATTGATGGAATGGCTCACTCGATTTTCGCAGATAATTTTGGGAATACAATACAGTTATTTTTAGTATTACACTGCACCAATCCAAGGTGGTATACGTGTTGATAGCAAATGTTTAGTTTAGTTTAGTTTAGTTTAGTTTATTGCCAAAAACAGTTTACACCATACAGGCAATCTTAGAAATTTGAAAAACACAACATCTAACAAACGTCCAACTGAAAATAACTATCTACATACATAACGTACAAATATCTAGAAAAAAATATTTAACTAAAAATACACATTCTTATTACTTAACCCACCTATCTTAATACAAAAGCTCCCGTTTAAACCTATTTAATGAAATATTAAAGATGTCGATGGTAGATGGTAAAGAATTTAAAGCCCGTGCCACTCTAGTAAAAGGACTGTGAATTCCGTAGTTAGTCCTGTGTGAGTCGATTTCGAATAGTATAGGATCCCGGATAAGATGATTAGGTACCCTTATTCGAAACGAACTTAATATTTCAGGAGAATGAATTGAATTATTAAATATTTTGTAGCCGAAGACAACGATGGCATTTTTCCGTCGTGACTCCAATGATTTTAGACCCACTAACTCGAGCCGTTCTTCATAGGTGTACAAATTTTTGTTTATGTTGAGTTTAAAAAGTAAAAAATTGACAAACTTCCTTTGCACTCTCTCTAGCCGTATATTTGAACACGAATAATAAGGATCCCACACAAGACTGCAATATTCGAGTGACGATCTCACAAATGCACAGTACAACTTAATTGCGACCGGTATATTTTTAAAATCTTTGCATTGACGTTTAACAAATCCACACATTCTCATAGCTTTATTGAGAATTCTTTCTATGTGGTACTCGAACGTATAAGACTTGTCAAACACTACACCAAGATCCTTTACCGTTTCAACTCTCAATATCTCGTTATCACATAAACAGTATCGGGCGCTTATCGGATTCTTGCATTTATGGAACGTAATAATTTTACATTTATCATAATTAATCAGTAAGTTGTTCATATCACACCAATTTGAAAACGAATCTAAGTCAGATTGAATTTTAAGAACATCTAGCTCCGAGCGAACTTCCATGTAGAGTTTCAGATCGTCGGCAAAGAGTAAGAATTGGCAATACTTAAAAATGTGAGTTATGTCATTAACAAAAAGAAGAAAAAGAATAGGGCCCAAGTGGCTACCTTGAGGAACACCGGATGTTGCTTTTATTTCATGAGAGAACAGTCCACTGATACGAACGGTCTGCGTTCTGCCATTTAAGTAAGAGGAAAGCCATGAAAGTAAATTACCTACAATACCATAATGCTTAAGTTTGATTAACAAAAGATTTGTATCAACGCGATCGAAGGCCTTACTAAAATCCGTATAAATGGAGTCCACCTGGTAACCTCTTTCTAATGAGTTTGAGATATAATTACTATAAATTGAGAGATTTGTCAGTGTACTGCGCTTAGGCATAAAACCATGTTGTTTAGTAGAAAGGATATTATAATAAGTATCGAGAAGTTTATCAGCTATAATGGATTCAAGAACCTTACATAATGATGAAATAATACAAACTGGACGATAATTCTTAACATCTGTTTTTGATCCCGATTTGTGAATTGGTATGATAAACGATGACTTCCAACGGACTGGGCACAAACCCGACCTTAATGATTGCTTAAAAAGGATTGTTATAGGTAGAGTAAGAGATGGGCTACACATTTTCAAAAAGTAAGCTGGTATTCCATCAGGTCCCGGATTGAAATTATTTTTTAAAGATACAAGTTTTTGGAAAACAGCATCAAAATTTATTTCAAGATTGTTAATGACTTGGAGAATTTCAGAATAATTCGTTGTCGAATTTCGGGTATTGTCACTTGGTGTTTGGAAATGTTGTACATAAACCTCCTCAAAAAAATCGGCAAACAAGTTACAGATTTGCTGGGGATCATTAGAGCTTATATTATTGTAGGTTACAAAATTAGGAACAGAAACTGAGTTATTAACTGATTTAACAAATTTCCAAAAATTATTACTGTTGACGTTAATGTTTTCTTCCGTTGTTGATATTAATGTTGCATAGTCACCTTTAATGTATTTTTTTACAAGAGAACGAAGATGTTTGAACTTGGTAAAGTGTTCTGCGTTATGCGTGTGTCTAAATTTAGCAAACATTTTATTTTTCTTCTTTACGAGCATTTTTGTAGCTTTAGAAAACCAGGTTGGAAAGTTGTTATTTTTTATCATAGTTTTACTAATAAAAGTAGAGCAAGCGTTGCTTAACGCATCATAAAAATTATTAAAATTTGTTTCGACATCCGTTGTACTTAGAAGGGCGTTCCAGTCTACGGAACCAAAATAATCATAATAGAATCGTAAGGTGCATTTTTAAAATTAAATTTATATAATGGCGGAGATTCGATTTCGCAAAGATCTGAAGGGATAATTAATTTTGCATTACAAGGGGGATGATGTCGATCCATGTCAGGAACAATACTATAACTGTCCCTTTGGACACTGAAGTTTACAGAATTTGAGAGAGCTAGATCCAACGTATTGTTATTATGGTTTAGGATGTAATTTACTTGATATAATTCGAGATAATTAAAAGAGTCTACTACAATGTTATACAGTTCAGAATTATTATATATAGGTCTTAACGCAGGTGAATTAGTATTATCATGAACCCATTCTATATTTGGCATATTATAATCGCCTAGAATACACACAATAGAATTAGGAAATCTATCTCTTACACTATCAAGGGAAGAAATATGGTCAAGATAAACGTTTACATCGGATGCTGGTGGAATGTAAACTCCTCCAAAAATAATTTGATTTTTTCCTACAGACATGGAGATGAATATTTCCTCACATCTTGAATTGTCCATCTTGATGTTGAGTGATGGATATCTTGAATGAACTGCGATGAGTACTCCTCCTCCTCGAACTTTATTACTAGTAAGTGAGTCCCTATCATGACGATATACATTATAGTTTGGCCCAAAAATTTCGGAACTTTTAATATCAGCACTAAGACCCGTCTCACTCAACACTATCACATCATAATTAAGATTAATAGTCTCGTGATAAAAATCAATTACTTTGGTTCTAAGACCCCTTACGTTTTGGTAAAAAATTTGTAGAGTTACTTGTCCTTTCGGATGTTTTTTGATACGTCAACAATTTTCGGTACTTTGTTTATAAACCTAATTGTTTTGCCAGTATCTCCGCTTTCCTGAATTGCACTCAGTTTTTCTCGCAATTTCTTGAGGTAATCCCGCTGCATTGGTGTTGAATCGCTCTGAATGTTGACTCCATCTGTTAACTTTTTTTTATTACGAAGAACCAGCATTACATCTGAATTACACTTTAGTTCAACTTTAATCGGTCTATTTTTAGAATTGGAAAATTTCCCTAATCGTACACATTTCACAGTAAATGCTCACAAAACGCGTAGATGTTCAGTTTGTGTCCGGGGAGATACAATGTTTCCAAGTAGGTACTCAGTACATAGAGTAGATGCTTAGGTATATAAGAGTAATAATGAAGTAGGTACTTCGTACTTCGAATATGAGTATCTACTCAGTTTTATTCATACCACCCAATTTCTCGCTTCAATGTTTGATTATGTTGATTATGAGCACAACGCTGATCAACTTCCATATCCGAATTACCTATGAAATAAATTATTGCGATTTGGACCTGAGGTAGTTCGTCGCACATTTGATTGACTTCGTAGACCTATGTGAGCTTGTCGTCTTCTCAGCATTTTAATGAACTTCATAAAACGACACAGAATCATTTTCACAGTCAATCAAATCTGTAAATTTTGTCTTGAGAATTTTAAAATATTGAAAACTTCAAATTAAATCCTCGAATAACGGTAAAGTTTGAGGTTTTGTCGAAACCAACAAAGTGAATATAGGTAAAAAGAATGACAGATCAAAATGAATAAGAAACTTTCGCAATGTGTAATTAAATTCACTTTAACCAAGGCTTTTCTTAAAATAAACGACGTTTTTTTTTACGAAAAAACAAAGAACGATTTGAAATGCAATATACTTTTCAGAATCGCACGGAAGAATTAGTTTTGTATGACACGTCAGTTAGACGACAGGTCCGTCAGAAACGCCAACTTTTGAAATTAATTCGAAGTGGCGATTCCCATACAAAATT